CTACATTGGTAGTGGTGCTTCGTTCTTTGGGATAATTTAATTCATTCTGAGAGGCTGTTCAAACTTTGAATTGTTTGAAATCAAATAAATTTTTGCCATTAGAAATAATGGAAAGTGAATTATCCATTTCCAGACCCTAACAAAATCCAGTTTGATAAACTTAAAACAGCAAATACACATACCATATTTTTGCAGATTGTCCAGCATGTCAGTCTTTGTGGGGGAGATCATGAGATCAGATATTTCTATATGGTAAAAACTGGTATGCTGGTTTAAGTGAGGTTATACATCCCTCTATAGAGGGCATGTGAAACTTACAAATGCCAGCTTTTATTCTAAAACTGTGAAACTGTCAGCATTATGTCAAAAATCATGATTATCTGTTTTGTTTCTGCATTTTTCATGTCTTCTTTCTAATGATGTCAAATACTTGCAGAATGCTGAAAGTACTTTTTTTTAGTGTTTATTTTATTGTAATTTGATCCAAAAATTCAGAAACTCACTGTAAATTATCTCAAATTACACTGATTAACATCCACTGTGTGTGAAATTTGATAGGATGATGTTATCTTTCAAGTTAGGGTAGACTCAGTGCAACCCACACAAACTACTACTACTATTACACTAATGTTAACAAGCCACTAATTGTTTTATTGCTCTCTAAAAGAAAACTCTCTTCAGCCAGTCAAATTACAATGTTGTTATTTTATTGTACTTAGGATAATGTTTTCTTTAACAACTAGTTTTATTAGATCTGATTAATTTTATTTTTTAGTTGCAGTTCAGCTGATATGCTGGAAACCCTGTGGTTATCAGCATGTTGTTCTCTCAGTTGTATGCAGCATGCTGGTCAGTCTGCAAAAATACAGTAATAAAAGGTATCACTAATAATTAAATGCCCTAATAGTAAATTAAAACATGAAAACAATAAAGAAAATATGTAAATGCTATATAATGAAGTAAAAATTATCAATACATTTACTTGTTGCACACTGTTGACTTCAGCATCTTAAATGTGGCTGCCCAATTTGCCACTTGTGTACCACTTTAATGATAAGTTACTTTTTCATCTCAATTGTCATTATTACAACCTACCTCTTAGACTTTGTTGCTTCCACCACTTCTCAGATGCCATGATTAATAATTGAGCCCTTGTTTTGAAGAAATAAAAATTTTATTTAATGACATAAAGAGTTAAATCTACTGAGGCTTCTTTTTCACTAAACAGGAAATGGCAACACAATTTTTAAATTTTTTTTTTAAGCTTTAAACATGAGGAATAATAATAGTAATAATAATGCTAATGATACATTAAAATAAAAAATAATTTTGTTAACATAAAAAAACTAAAATTATAAAAGTTTGAACCTGAATCATTTAGCACCAGTACCTAGCATGTGCCACTTGGCTATTGTCATTCCAAGGAGACATGAAATTTTCAAAAGCCTATAAGCCAAATACTCATTTTTCATAGGCCTGTTTTTCAGAAACACTTGAGAAGTGGGTCCTATTATTTTGACAAACAGCTGTTTGTGTTTAGGGCTACATACTCACCAAGTTTTGTTTGAATCGAAGACCTGAACATCTGACCCTCTTCTTGTAAGCTTAATTAAAATTAATTTGAAGTGATTCTAACTAAAGATGGGAGTATTTGAATGCAAGAGTTGAGAACTATTCAATTGCCTATTCCAGTTCTGAAAACTAATAATAAGAAGACTGTATGTTTACTTAGCATGTGACCATTTCAATGGCATGGTCCAGAATTGTTCTCAGAATAAAGTTTGTGCTGTTGTGACTGTTTTATCTGAAGACAATTTTACTTATTTATTTACAAGTTGAATCTGTTTTCTGATTTATCCATGTTAAATTACATTCTTTGCACTCAAAATCCTTTTCTATTTGTGCAAGAACATGTTTCTGGCCTATAGTAAGATTTAACATAGGAAATTGTTCTATTTTAAAGAATTTTTTCTATTTAGACAGATTTCCATTTTATTCCATTTTAGACAAGTTTTACTTTATATTATTATAAATTACGAAGTTACTAATCTACTATTAAAAAATTTTGTATTGATTTCATAAATTAAATTAAATTGCATAGCATATCTTTATTACAAATTAAGACAGTTAAGGCTGTAGCATTATAGTGCTATAATGCTTCAAAAGTCCCACTTACTGCTTATGGTCTACTATAAATTATAAGTAGTATGCAGGACTTCATTTGTTAAATGCTGCATTGAGTTTTTTATATAGTCTAGCATTGTAATGCTATACATCAGGGATGGCCAACATGTAGACCGCAGTCGACCGCAAAGGTTTTGAAAGTAGCCCGCGAAGCTAAAGTTGAACAATTTGCTTTCACTTAATGTTTAAAAATCTTAATTCAATAATTCATTCTTACAATAATAGACTGTCTGTGCAACGTACCCATACTGTTTGTATTTATCCCGATGAACCATGCAAATGAATGTTAATGCAGGCGCATATAAAAATCCTAAAATTGTTTGCCCATATTCATAGTTGCCCGTTGACTATATTTTACCAAAAATGTAGCCCCTAAGGGATAAAAGTTTGGCCACACCTGCTATACATGCTACAATACCAGCTGCTATATATAACCTGGTCTGTGCCAGCCTTTAGTCATTTAATAGTTCTGATGATAAGTTTTTATATTAAACTGTATATTTAAGTGAATAATATCTGCAGAAAAATGTACAATATTAAAATGGTACAAAATTTGATCAATATTTGACCATATTTTCTGAATTGGTTATTTTGATTCTTGCAATAAATTTATTTATATTTCACATTGTGAAAAGTATGAGTGATGATGATGTAGTTTTAATACTCTTATTTCAAAATATTTAACACATTAGATTTATAAACATTGTGAGAATGCATTTCATGAATATAAATGATTTTATAGAATAGCTATACATTTATATATATTTTTTAGAAAGAATGAATAAATGGTGAAGATGTACTGCACCCAGTGATTGGATTCGGATGGTTTGCACCAGTTTGGCAGAACTAATTCCTAAAATATTTTTAATTTGCTGAACCAATTGTTAAAATTGTACTTGTGATATTTGTATAAACAATTTATTGCAAAAATCTGTGTATACATAAGACTGCCAGCTTTTTAACAGTTCAGTGCAGACTGGATAGAATGAAAGAGAAATGTCACACACTAGAGCAGTAGTTTTCAACTGTGATGCTGCAAAAACACTTCAGGGGTTCCACAAAATGGATTAATGGAAGAAGGCAATGCAACACTTTGTCCATCTGCTGAGGAGCAGTGCTGCCTAGGAGAACTTTCTGTAGAAAATAGACCACTATTTATGTGTTAGACTTGATGGAAACCAGAATTTTACATGGCCAGCTCATTAGTGAGATCTGAAGATAAAAACTTGTGACAAGTGTTTAATGGTTTTATCCATTTGGCCACTGAAGGTCACTGTTGCCACAAAATATAGTGCTGAGCAGTGCCATAATGTTAATATGTTTTACTAAATGTACTAAATGCTCAGTATCTTTATATTAATAAAGAAATAAGGCTGTCACAAGAAAAAATTTTAAGTTGAGGGTGCCACTATTGAGTTGAAAAACACTGCAATAGAACAAAAAGCAAGTGAGAATTTGTTGTTGTTGCAATCGCAATTGACCTGTCACAATTAAAGATCTGAAGTGATGGTCTCTTTACAATTTTTTATATTGCTTGCGGGCCCTTTAAAATTAACTACAATTAACATATAGGCTACTGTTGCCAAAACATTTTTTGACAAACAATTATTTATTCAGAAAATGGCAAATCTTAGTTATCAAATGTACGTTGAATGGGATGCGTGCATCTGCTTTGCCTGAAATGATCCCTTCATGGTCCCACTGAAACTGCTTTGCAGTTTCCTAGATGACCACAGACCCCAGTTTGAGAACCATCAATCTAAATTTAAGTTTTGTTAAGTAAATTGATCTTTTAACAATTATTGAATATTTTATAACAATAAATTTTATTCTGAGTTCATTAAAAATCATATTTTATATATATAGCCCATACTTAGTGCTTCTGTAATGGATCAAATTATACAATATGAAAAGAAAATACCAGGAGGTACTGATTATCATTCTACAGAAAATGCTTTACAAATGCAGGTATGTATATTGCATGGGAAAAACATAAAATAAAATTATATATATATAGTCAAACTTTTATATAACAAATTGTATCTGGGAAACATGCAGAATTTGTTGTATAGAATATTCATTAAATGGAAAATACACTAGGAGTGAAAAGAAATCAGTTTTATTTTCCATTGCATATAGTCTTGTTCTTACATTAATAACAAAATAAAGTAATAGCATTTTAGATGAAAAAATCAAACACAAAATATAATAAATATAGTATTTTTTTTAAATTGAGAAGAAATGTTTTGATGAAATGTTGAAAAACATTTTTTTACACTGTACATTTTTTTAATCAAGTTATTTCATTTAAAATGAACAATTCTAATATTAAATAATCAAAAATTCCGTTTTTGATTTTTTACAGTTATGAACAAATTAAAAACATGTATTTGAAGCTGTTTCAGCTTTGAATTATTGTACCATTATAGTACTATATAGTACAATAATAAATTATTGTACCATTATAGTACTAGTAATGGCAGTTAGGTGGTGATGCATTGTGGAAATAAGTCATTTTAACTAATTTGACACCTATCAATGTGAAAAATATGTTTTTATTATGTCTGGCTTTCAAAAGTTTTGTCATATAGAAATTAAACTTTACCAAATAAGGACATATTTAATTGTTAAAAGGACATATTTTCAACATTCTACAGAAAAATTTATTTAAAAGAGAAATTTATGGTCTAGACTTCATAATATGGAAGTTTGACTGAATATATATTTTTTAATATTATTTTTAAAATATACACTAGTAATATATACATTATGTAAATTCAAATTATAAATTAACTTTATGAAAAAATTTTTAATAGTCTTTACAGATAATTGCATTTTTAATGGCTGTGTGTCATACTATCATTTTAGTTCAAGATTGGTTTGTTGATCCAAATCTTCTAAGGTAATTTTTAGTAAGTTAATAAAAAAGGGCATAAATTAAATTTTAGAATTTAACTTAAATGTAACTTTTTTAAACTTAAAGTTTAAAAAAATTATACCAATGCATGAAAGTAAACTTGTTATTCTAAATGCTGATTGCTAATGATAAACTTATTAAGTTTTGACTAAATTAATTGAATAAGAGCTAACTTAAAACTAATAAAGCTATTAATATATTAATCATAATTGTGTAAGTAAGCAAAGCAAGATTTTTGTTTCAGTATTTCTGAGAATATTTTCATATATAAATAAAAATATTCTTTGATATAGAGAAACAAAAATTAATCATGATTAGTGTAGAAATTTTATTTTAGTGTTTGTTGGTTATGTGCAATTTATCAAAATGAATTGCTTGTTGTAAATTCAAAAATTTACATTTGGTGAAAAGTTTATTCATTTACTTATTTTTTACAAAATTTTTAATTTTTGAATTTATTATTGAACTTGATTTTTATTTTGGTTTTGCTAATTAGTATCCTTGTAGCATTTGTGATACTTTTTTAGGATAAAAAATTTTTTATTGATGTTTTCGGGTTTACTATATTTATTTTTATACATGTATATCTTGAAGTTTTTAAATGTACTGGCTAATTTGAAATGTAATTTTACAGATTTATACAATCTGCAGAAATGTTGAAACCAGCAACACCAACTAATCCACATGAAGGAACACCTGCTCCAGAAGAGAATACAGAATATTATCCTCATATAGGTATATCTCATATATCAGTTTTAATTATTATTGTATTACTTTTGAATATTTTAAAGTTATTTTCATAATTAATTTAATCATAATTTAAAGATGATTGATTTTATGTGAATGTTTCCAAACATATATATATATATATATATATATATGATTCTTATCAAAAATGAAAATTTATATAAGTATGCTAGACGCTTACAGAAAATTTATGTCAATGAATAAGCATACAGTGGGTGATAGATTAACAAACACAATTCGTTTCAAGACTGCATTTGCTATTCAAATTAACTGATTATCAATTTATCGTAGATTTTTATGGGAATTTGATTAATCCATTCTGGAGACTGAAAAAATAAATAATAAATTATACATATTTTTACTATGTTTATTTATATGTAATAATAAATATACATATATACACAGTCTTGCATTTTTTCAGTCATGTTTTTTCTGTTTGTGCAGTGTTAAAGAATCTGTCCAATGCTGATTGCTTTTCTTTCTTCTTCGGGATTTTTTGGAAGTAATTAATAGCATTGTTGTTGTAGAGATCCCTAAGCCTATTTACCTCAACTTGGTTTGGATGCCATTCTAAGACTGTTCTGATATCCTCCCACTTCTTCAAAAGATCTTTAATAGAGGTTGTTGGCATTAATCCTCTTTTTCAGAAGAAAACATATCTCGCCAAGTTTATTGGTGTTCTTCATTCAAGAGTTCTTGGCGTTCTTCTGTTGTCAGATCCGTTTCAGGTTCCATTATGAGCTCTTCAATGTTCTTTATTTCTCAGATGTGATTTTTGTTACTCCTTTAGCTGCTTGAATCTTCTTAATTATACTGTATCTTTCTTAGATAATATTGAACTACTGCCTACTGTAGACCTGTTTAAACCATACTGCCCAGCAACATCAGCATCTTCTACCCACTCTCTATCTTTGCTATTATACATTCACCTTTCGAAAATAAAAATTGACGCAAAACTTAACAAGTGCCCACCTGACAATCTCATGAATACTATAAAAGAATTGTTTCTGTCAGAAAAATAAAAGGCTGGATTTACAAGAGAGAATTTCAAAGTTCGGAGGAATACTATCCAATTAGTATATACTGGGTTGAATATTGATGTCAACGTCTCCTGCACTTCGAAAAGTTCCGACTTGTTGCCTGAAGACAATGGAAGAGTAATCAGTATTCATTATTTCGCTTCTTGTGTTTGTTCTGTGAGGTGTTTGTTGTCTGAACATAAAAATCTTTTGCGAAAGTGTTTGTTAACTGATTTGTTCATAGTCCGAACTGTTCATTGACCAATCACCCACTGTAGTTAAAAAACTTTTTAAAATATGAAATTTTAGGTGAGTGAAGAGGTGGCATGGATCAAAAGAATATTAAACATTATTAGAATACAATTAAATTTCTTATGATTTTCATTGATACAGGCTGCAGGTTAAATGGGATGAGAGCTGAATATTTTATAGTTAATTGGATTATATTAAAATATATAGTTTCCATTTTTTTTTCTTGGAATATTTTATTTCTTAAAATATATCCAATTATCACACAAAGCAACACAAATTTTACAGTAGAGAAAATTATTTCAATTTAGTTTAAATTAAGTGTTCTGATTTTAAATCTGAACTCAAATTTTTCTCATTTCACTCAGATTTTGAGATTATTTTTTTTTGTGATTTTAAGGTGTTTTTCTTTTTAAAAACTTATAATTATTTAGGTTAATACAGCATTAGGAAACTATATTTTTGTATTTTTACATAAAATGTGATTGATATATCTGTAATTATTAGTGAAAAGGAACATTATCAAACAGGTCAAATTTAATAGTGCCATTTGTCTGTAGGCAAGTATAATTTCTGAGTGTGCATTGATCATCTACTATTTTGTTGGCTCAAACACATATTTGATACTGGTGTTGAAAACCTTTCAAATTAAATTTTCCCTCTGAATCTTCAGCCAAATTTAATACATACTATGCTTCCTGTCTTTTGTTTATATTTGACATCCTTTCAATTTACCACAAATAAGTTGTCTCAACTATCCAAAGAACTTCTCTTACATTTATGGATATTATACTTTCCTATGCAGTGCAAGAAACTTATGTTAACAGTAAAGACATTAAAGTTATTTTGGCATAGTGGAAGAGATCAAGACAAGAATTTGGTACCCCAGTTTTTGCAACACATATTTTATTATGGGCACATGGCAAGAAAAGATCATTGTTTACAGTGTGTCTAATGTGGCATGAACTAACCATTCATTACTCTGATTACTATGCTTCAATGATTAATTCATTAGTCCATAGTCAAAAATCCTAAAGAGGAAAGTCATAAATATATTTCTTATATTTTATTTGATTTTGAATTCTTTAGTTTCAAGTTATTAAAATAAAAGTATTTTAAGTTATTAAACTTTTACTTGTTGTCAACAGCTTGTGCAACATACAAGCTAAATATGCCAGTTTTATATACATTTGATAAACTATTCAAATTTTTGTTTGATAGTATGCTTCTTTTATTCATAAATTTAAAATAATTAAAGTGCATTCATTGTAGTATTTTGCATTAGAATACAAGAACATAATCATACAGATTATATGTCTGTGATAACCATAAATATTTTTTAAAAATTCCTGGATATCAGAAAAAGTAAAGTATACTCATTGACAAAAAGTTATGTACCCAGATAAAATTGTCGCCATTACTGTAAACTTTGGCCTACAGCTGTGTTTCAGACAGGTGTTTAAATGATTACAGTTGTAATTTGATTACTTGGTAGGTAATGCCACTATAATACCTTAAAATTGCTATGCTAGTATCTTGAAAAACACTTTCAGAGAATTACTATTCAGAATTTTCAGTGTTTCTGTTTGGAGATCTTTAAATATAATACAGGCTTGCCTTATGAAATGGCTGATGGAGAAAGAATGCATCATCAAACTGAGAAAAGCGCAAGCCCCTTCGGACTGCGAGGCATAGGTGGTGGCCCACATTTCCCATGCCTTATGGCGCCCTTGGTCATAGAAATGATGTAATTTGAAAATAAAATTATTTATAAATGCGTATGTCAAGTTATATTTTTATTACGACACAAAATATATTTAACAGTTTTTGGCCACTGTGCTGAGTGAGACATTGTTGAAACAAAAAAAGTTATGCATTCCATCATGTACAGTATCATTATTGTATCATGTACAGTATGTTCCATCATAAACAGTATCATTATTTGCCAAGTGCAAATCAGCAAATTCGTAAAATTTTTGTTTATTTTGAACAATCCGGATAATAGAGGTCCGGATAATCGAGGTTCTACTGTAGTTGAATAGATATATACAAAACAAAATTAAGTACAAAATTCAAATAATTAGATTTTCAGTATATAATATACACCTAATCCTCTTTTTGTGTGTGGTGGATACATTCCAAAGAATGCTGCATAAAAAAAATACAGTATATACATTCTGTAGAAAAAATGCTTGATAGGATCCATAACTTCAATGGAACGAAAAAATAAGCAATTTACAGAAGAAAAATGAGTTTTTTTTATTCTAATATCACTTATTATTACTATATTTACATACAAATAATGTTAGACATGGTAGCATAAGAAACAAAATCAACATACAGTATTCACTAATATACAAACAGTACTGTACTGCGCTTAAAAAAAAGATAAATGAACTCTCAATTTAGAAACATATAATTTTAAAACCAATCTTTCAACAAAAAGAGTAGTTGATTTTTTATATAAAAAAAATAGATTCTGTAAAAAGAGGGTTAGTTTTTTTTTATCAACTGTGTTATTTCAAAATTGCATAAAAAAACTAAAAAGAGAGGTAGGTGTAAAATAAAAAAAAATAGAAAATAATAATAAAATTTACACCTATCAGGTAAAAATACAAAAATTAAGTATTATGCAAAAAGATAAGCAGCAGGTGATCAACACCAGATTAAACCCAAGGGAGAATAGAATTCAGAATACTTTTACAGCTCAGAATGGTAATAGTGTCCTCTGAAATAAAATGCAAGAACAAAAGTAATATAACTACAGTATTTAATTTTGTTACAATTCTTAAACTTTTTAGTTTTCTACATGTAGTATATATTTACTTTTAATATATTAAATAAAAAATTAACTAAATATAAAATTGTTTTATTTTAAATTTTGAGAATCAAAATATTCAATATTTTACATATATTTAAAATGCTGTTGTAGCTAATTTAGTTTTTATTATCTTTTCAAATAGTATTTGTTCAAAATAAATGCCAGAGAGCAGATTATTCTCCAAGCTGTCTTATTGAAATGCAAGAATTGCTGTCATTAATATTTCAAAAGTCTAAATTAAAACAAGCAGGTAAAAATCATTAAAATTAAAATATTAAAATTCTGTATGACGTTTCTAAAGTATTTTCTTTTTAAAACAGTCTTTTGTTAAATAATATAATACAGTGGTACCTCAGGATACGAAATTAATCCGTTCCGAAACTTAGATCGTATCATGAAAATTTCGTAAGGTGGATCATCTTTTCCCATACGATTACATGTAAAACCAAATAATTCGTTTCAACGCGAAAAACATACTCAAATTAAAGCCAAGTAATACATTTAAAAAAATAACTGTAGTAAGGAAAACAAATGAAAAATGCGAACTAATGTAACGTCGTATGGTGAGTTTTTGTTCGTATCGTGAAGCAAAAATATGTAAGAATTTCATGTCGTATCCTGAAAATTTCGTATGCTGGGGCGTTCGTATCCTGAGGTACCACTGTATATAAAAATCTCTTTAAGCAAAAGTTTAGGATAAGTATAGCAGCAAAATTATAAGTATAGATATCATAATAAATTTTTCATCAAGATATTTACTAATACATTACTATTAGAACAACAACTACAAAATTATAACAGTTAAATTTAACAACATTATGAAATGTATTATATAATACATCTAGTTTTGACAAACCTACTAATGAAGAGTAGGTACAGTACATAGCCCTCACAAATAAACATATTCTTTTAAGTATTTTAGTAATTTAAATTATATAGTTTTAATACTTCAGAATTTATATATACAGTATATATTTTTACATTTACAGTGGTACCTCAGGATACGAAATTAATCCGTTCCGAAACTGAGATCGTATCATGAAAATGTCGTAAGGTGGATCATCTTTTCCCATACGATTACATGTAAAACCAAATAATTCGTTCCAACACGAAAAACATACTCAAATTAAAGCCACGTAATACATTTAAAAAAATAAATGTAGTAAGAAAACAAATGAAAAATGCGAACTAATGTAACGTCGTATGGTGAGTTTTTGTTCGTATCGTGGAGCAAAAATATGTTCGAATTTCATGTCGTATCCTGAAAATTTCGTATGCTGGGGCGTTCGTAACCTGAGGTACCACTGTATTGTACTTATAATTTAATAGAATTTTTACTAATGAGTTAGTATGTTATTTTAAGATTAAATTTTGTTTTGTGTTTTTTTCCCCAAGCTAGTTTAGTCAGTCAATTGACCAGCTACCAGCTATTTTAGACATTTTTTGATAAGACTATGTCTTGTTTATAAAATTGCGGTGCCATTAGGGGCCATCCATAAATTACATAAGGGCAATTTCGGCCATTCTAGACTCCCACCCACCCCTGTGTAAGAAATCGTAATATTTTTTTTGATCCCCCTCCCCTTCCCTATCTTACATAATATTTTGGCATGATTTTATAGAAAGATTTTAACCAAAAAAGTTTTTCTATGAAACCCTAAAAACCTTAAGTCCAAAATATATAATTAGTTAATTAATATGTACTATTATTTATAAAGGACTTTATGTGAACAAATTTAAAAATATAAAAATTTAATGAATTCAAATGAGCAATTTATTTTAAGAACTTTATTTTTTAATTATTAACAATATTATTATTATTATTATTATCATCATTAATCAATGTCATAATATTTATTTTTATATTAATTTTAATTTTCACAAAAGACGCAAAAAACTTTGCCAGATCGACTAGCAAGTGCACATGTAAACATAAACGTCATACAAAATAAAACAAGAGAGAATAGAGAGAAACCACATTCCATTGCCATATTGATTACATCTTGGCTAAGGCCAAGAAAATAAACTACATGCTGCTAAAATGTGCTAGGTGCACCTGGCACATTTTAGCAGCTGGGGACTAAATAATAAAGCTTATAAAACTCTATATAATGGGGCAATATAACCAATGCTACTTTACGTGGCCTCTGGCTGTGGTTATGTAACTAGTAAAAATTCAGTAGCAAGTAAATTATTCTCTCTTCAAAACCAGTTTGCCATCAGAATTTCAAAGTGCTGCAGAACTGTTTTTACTAATGCCTCTCTGATACTAGCAGAGCTCCTTCCTTTGCCACTATGTATTGTCGAAAAGATTCTAAAGTACTACATCAGAACTACAAATGTCAAGGCTCAACAACAGTCTCTACTCCTATCTACGGCTGTTCATATGCTACCACATTGCAAGCATCCTACTATCTCTGATCATAATCCTGTAAACAAGGTTATTTGGTGTCATCTGCTTCCTCCATGGATAATCATGCAGACATTAATATCTACACAGACGTGTCCAAAAGCTCCTTTCTTGTCGGCTCAAGTATCTGTATCTTTCTCCAAACTGACATATTTTGTCAAAAATATGTTAGAGGGTACAGATACCTCCCACATACCTCCATCTATCAAGCTGAAGAAGATGCTGACTACCAAGCTGTTCAGTGGGCCACTTCACTACCAAACAAAAACTCTATCTATCAACATTTACAGTGATTCTCAGTCTGTCATAAAAGTGCTATTAAATCCCAATTGCAATTGCAATAGCAATAAAATCGCATATATCCAGCAACATATTAAAAATCTTGTAAATAAGATAACTTTTATATATGTTCCTGACCATACTGGCATACTAGGAAATGAAAAAGCCGACTTTGAGGCTAAGTCAGCTGCAAAGGACACTGATTTGGACTACACTCAACATCCCTCTCTCACATAGCAGCCTTAAAAATTATATTCATGACAATGCTATCCAAAAGTGGAATTAGTAAAAGCAATTGAGTAGTAAAACTGGTAGAATAACAAGACTTTATTTTCCTAGTGTTGAATGTAGGTTCTCATGACTACTTAGAGATTTAACGTTTGCTACTGCTCAACTACTTATCGAGCATGGTAATTTTAGAAGCTACTTGGCAATGTATAACTGGGCAGAAACTGTCTCTTGCTTTTGCTCTTCAGAAAACCTAGACACCGTCGACCATATGATCTATCATTGTCCAATTTACAATCAACATACACTTACTCTGAAATGAGAAATCTTTACACTTGGTTTCAAGCAGCCATGTCCACTTGATAAGCTTGTTCAGAAACCATTGTTTGATGCTTTTTACAATTATGTTCAAAAAATATGGAAGAAAAGACTATTTATAATTACTAGTTTTATATTTTAGTTTTTACTAAAAGCTGAATACTAATTTTATATTTACAGTAGAGCGTCGTTTATCTGAAAGTCAGTTATCCGAAACGTCAGTTAACCGAAAGTATTCCAGTCGGCAAATTTAAATTTTTCAAATGCTGTGGCGCTGCAATCTTTGGCTATATCTTTGGCTACTCCAATATTTTTTTTGTTGATGTGTGTGTTTTAGCTGGCAGCACTGGTACTTTTGTGTGGTGTTTTTCTGAGGACTGTGTCGGAATGTGTGTCGTGCTCACTCGAACATTTTTGATAGTAGATTAATGTCTAAATTATAATTTTTTTTCGTTTTTTATATTTTTCAATATATTTATTTTGTTTGTACAAAATAAAGAAATAATTTTTAATGATACAATAGCCACGATTATTATTATAAAAATTTTCGTTAGGTTTAACATTGATGAAAATTCAACGCGAAGCAACACGAAACAGAGAAAAATTTCAATATGGGATAGGTTAATTAATATATTTTTTTGTACATAATCGGTTATTTGAAAAATAAGTTATCCGAACAACCCCAGTCCCCAATTGATTTGGATAAATGATGCTCTACTGTACTTTGTATCATGTATTTTGGTTTATGTATTCTTAGTGTTATACACCCATAGGAGTGGTGCACTTATTCCAATAAAAAACAAGAGAGAAACCACCACACGGCCTTTCTCCCATGACAAAAAATGTGTCACTCTGTCACGTCACGTGAGACAATGAGTGTTCTTAATAGAAACTGCCAAATTGAAGCCAAATTCAAAACGCCACCACTCAACGAGATCAAAAAATAAAAATAAGAATATTACGTAAGACAAGATCTATTACCCCCTCTACCCCTGAGTAAGAAACCGTAAGAAATCCTTGACCCCACCCACCTCAAAATACCGTATGTAATTTATGGACAGCCCCTTACGGGTGCACACCTTAGAGGTATAAGGAGGGACTGTCAGGAGTTGCAATTTGGCACAGAGTATTTGGTGACCAAATCATGCAGAAATAAAAAAAAATTAGACTTGTAGGTACTCCGGGGACCGAGAACTGAATCAAAATAAAATACAAAATGGCAATATCTTTCTACAAACAGGCAAGAGTGTGAGATTTGCACGTGTATATATCGTTGGAAAGTTGGAAACGCAAATGTTGTGAAATCAAATTTTGACAAAATCTTTGGAATCTTTGAAAAAAGCCTCTCTGGTCGTGACTGCTGATCTTGACCGGTTGACCCAAGATATCTCATTTCAGCATTGGAATGTTTTTGAAACTAGATGATGCTAGTTGTTATAATTTTATATTAAAAGTAACTTCTAAAATATAATTTTTTTTTTATTTATAGATACATTTATTAATTAATATATTTATTTTGTTTATTCAAAATAAAAGAAATAATTTCAGATGATACAATAGCCATGATTATTTTTTTTTCAAAAATTGGAAATTTTCGTTAGGCATTGGCAAAAATTCAACCTGAGGCAACACGCAATGGAGAGAAATTTCGACATTGGATAGGTTAATTTCACTAAAAATGCCTTGTGGCCATGGTCAAGGTTGGCGAAGTTTGAACGATCACGTCCAGCCCTGAGTCTCTGAGACATAGTCTTGTCCCTAAAATCAGCCTTGCCATTGTACTTGTCTATTTGATTGTAATTGAAATTTGAAGGTTTCATTGCACTCCATAATACTAAATCAAATCTTAATAATAAATAAAAGAAAATACTATATTTTCTTTTAAATGTTATATATTTTATAGCATTTTATAAGTTCTTTAAGCGCATTATATAATAATAAATAATAACTTTTGTAAAATAAAGATTAAAAATCCAAGACAAAGTTATATTTGTATAGTATTGAAGACAAGATATGAAAAAAAATATTTTTGAAATCTTCTGAGTAGTCATGCATATGTGTATGCAGAGCCTGTAAAGAAATGTTGATTCTGTAGTGTTAATTAAGGTATGTGAAAAATGATATAGGAGTATTAAAGTATTATGTATGATAAAGCAAGTTATCTGAAAGATGAAGACTGCCTTTAATGTTAAATGGAAATATTTCACATTATTTTCACTAACTTTATATAAACTATGTTTACAAAAAATAGCTCCTTCCTTTGCCACTATGTATTGTCGAAAAGATTCTAAAGTACTACATCAGAACTACAAATGTCAAGGCTCAACAACAGTCTCTACTCCTATCTACGGCTGTTCATATGCTACCACATTGCAAGCATCCTACTATCTCTGATCATAATCCTGTAANGCTTTTGTTTCATTAGGACATGTATGCATGGAGTTTTTTTCAAAGAAATATTATCAATCTTCAGTAAATCTCTTTCTTATTCCGGAAATTGGAGAAGAACAAGGTTAATTTTTAAAATATTTTTTGATTAGATTTATAATTATTTCTTTTGTATAGGGTTTCTTGCAAATATTTATCTTAGGAGAATAATTGAAGTGAGCAATCAAAATATTTACTGCAGAAGAGGAAAAACGTTTTTATATAGTATTTAAGTTATTTTTAATATATTTTAGATTTAATTTTAATGTTATATCAGTATTCTATTGAAATACTAATAGATTATTAATATAATGTTAACATTCTATTGAAACCCTGTTCAGAGCCTAGTGGCTCTGAACAGGGTTTCAATAGAACTTAGGCCTGTTCAGAGCCTAGTGGCTCTGAATAGGCCTAAGTTAAAATTCAAAGTGGGAGGGCTACAGACAGGAAAGGCATCTGTTTGTAAAAGTGAAAGCTAAATCAGGAAAAACAGTGTTCCATGAAAAGTAGGCCTAATAATGCTGATGAAAGAGATCAATATTCTATTGAGATATATTTAAATTGTCTCTAAAAGTAAATAATATTATTAAATAATTTCAATAATTAGTTATTCAATAATAATATTAAATTATTATTGAATTTAATATTATTTTAATATAGTGGTTGGTGATGAAACAGATTGATGTTTGCATGACAGTCAATGATATGTATGCTTCAGTGTTATTTATATCCATAAATAATGCCAAAGCATACATGTTAGGTGTTTTGCATCAGAAAACTTAAAAGTGCAAGCAACAGGTGATGGGGGATTCATCCGTTGAATCAGAGAATAATTCATCAGTGGGAATTCCATAATCACTATGATTGTTTCTTGTTTTAAATCATGTAAAAAGCATTAAAATTGGAGTTATAAACTTTTAAAGTTTGCAAACTCCAAGCTTTATTTATGTTAATGTCTTATGATTAAGTTTAAGGTTACATTTACATAACTCAGTGTGAATGGATGCATGAAATAACATAGGTACATACAAGTTTTATGTTTATGCTTAATTTTCATTGTGAAAGTGCTTTTACTCCCATACTGTTAATCTTAAAGCAATACTTATACCATTGTTTTAATTGTTAATGGAACCAAAAGGAAATTTAAATAAATAAAGAGATGTGCATGAATGTTATTAATTTAAATACAGTAGAGTCTCGAAAACTCGGCCTAATGTGGACCGAAGGGTGGCCGAGTTTGTGAAAATGCTGGGTTATCAGGAATGGGGTTAAAAAAAAATAAGTATGAGTGTTTCCTCAGAAAATACTGTACTGTACTTGTATGTATTGTTTGCTTGAGAATACAACAGAAAATAAACTGCCCAAATACCCTTAAACAAAGGAAAAGTACGAACTTTATGAAGGCATAGAGCCTTTACTACATGAAAATGAAAATTAATGAATACACTGTGTACAGTAATTTACCTGATAAGACAGACCCCAGAAAAATACTTTATAAGGCATAAAGCTGTCTGTAATGAAAATTAATTAATTAAGGATTTTTTTGCCCTGCCAGGGTGTGGCCGAGTTATCTGGAGTTCCGAGTTTTCGGAACTCTACTGTATTCATATTTACTTTAATTTTTATATAATGTATTTATATATTAAATAAGGAAATTTTCATTAAATTAATTTCATTTTAATTTGCAAATTCTATTTTATAGTGATGCTAAAATATAACTGAATAAAGACTCATGCTATTTTTTGAGGCAGCTTGATTTGGATAAAATTAAAATGAATATATATTAAATATTTTTATGGCTATTTTACCCTTATCAATATGAAACTCTCATAAAACATACCAGTAAGCTCTCATGGGTTGGGTAGGGTTGGATTAGGTTATGAATTTACTTGCAATTAGTATTGATAGGTGTAGCCAAATATCTGTAGCATACAGGCAGTTAACAGTCAAAAACCAGCCCAGATAATGTCAATAATGAAATACAATGGAGTACTATTTATAGGTTTTGCACTTATGTCATTTTATGTTGGTCTTCAGACTATTCCTATACCTTTCTATAATGAAGTATTTTATTTATGCATATAAATTCATTAGGGTGTTTCCTTAATACATAATTAGTTTTTTGTGATAAAGATAATAGATATTTCAATGTTCTTTTTGAAACTATAGTCAGAATTTCTACAGACCATTAAATATTTGTTTTATTCTTGTGTCTCTTTCTTCATATTTATAGAATTAAATGTTGCAAAATTAATCTCACCAAGTAAATTGCCTCTTAGAGAGGGAAAGTTAGTTGTAGATTATTAGCTGATTGGTATCAAGTGATCAAAATGTAGGGGAAGTCTACATATTTGAAGTGTTCTATAATAACAAAAGTTGAGGGCAGTATACTACCCATTATCAGTGATGTTTCAGTTTTGAATAAGCAAAAAATCACTTTGAAATTTATTGCTGTTAATGAGGTACAGTATGAGAATTATGTCTACTTGACTACTGATTACTGTAGCTTCAAAAAATATATGCAATAAAAATTTTAAATAAAAGATAAACATGATATAAGAACAAACCATTCCATATGATGGTCTAAAGATGGAATGGTAAAATCCAAAAAGCACTTAATCGTATTAAATAGTTGTGACTCCAATAGTTGTGAATGTTTCATTCTAAAGTAAAAGATTATACATTGAAACATTTGTTAAAAGCTGTGAAACTATGAGTTTGTTGTATGAACAAACTCATAGTTTGACATTCTGCCATCTTATGGTTCATCTTGACTGAAATTTTATCAGTCTTTTCAGACATATATTTACATATAGAGTGCTTTACTATATATTACTGGTATAAATGAAAATTAAGACAATTTTTTAATAAAAATACACAATACATGTGAACTAAATTGAACTAAAATGAAGTGAACTAAATTGAACTAATAAAATGTGTCTTTGAGTTGAGGAAATACAGTATACATCATAATATTGATCATAATTATAATAATAGCTTTAAGTTTGGATTATAGTGTCCAAACATCATGTTTAGACAGTGAATTTATTAAGAACAACTATTGGATTGACTATTTCACAAATTAAAATCACATTTACATGTAGTAAATATATGAAGCAGTAACTATATAATTCCTAGTTTTATTTCTATTTCATGAAATTTTCTTACTGTCTGTCAGAAAATGTTAGTGTTATCACTTTGAATAAAATTTTATATGCTTGTTCATTTATTCACAGAAATATAATTAAATATTATTTTTTCATATTTGTGAGTGAATGAATTGTCATTCATCTACATCTACAAATTGAATCTACCATACCATAATTTCCCTACCAGGTTACTGGGGCACTTACTCGTGTTATATCAGCATCATCTATGTTCAGAACATAATGTTGATCTCTGTATTTGGATGGGAATCCCATACCACATACTTTGAAGTGGTTCATATAGATCTGTTTTAAATAAACAAAGATATGTAGCAAAGTATTAAATATAGGACAGCAAAGATTAATGTGAGCAAAATTCCTTACATGGATATTGATAAGAATCCACTAATAATTTTTGTTAGTTACAAGGAAAATATACAAAATTTTCTGTATTTTAGGATATTAACTTATTAAAAAGAATTATAGGGTATGAATTTAAACAATAAATGGATAAGACAAGTATAATGTATTCAACACTATTATTTTGCATATAACAGATTAGTTCTGCATAAGATCTAAGATTTTGAAGAGAAATGGAATTAATTTTTTGAAAAACCAATGTCACAAAAATTCTAGCTATAACTGATCTTGGTTGTTTTACTGTACAAATGGAAAAATCCAGCAACGAGTTGCTCAACTTTTACTTTCCCGGCAACATTTGATGCCGCCATCTGTTATCATATTTTATTTTAAAAATTTTTTATATTTTTAACTATTATAAAATAGCAGAAAGCTTAATTTTGAGGGTAGGAATGGGTTTTATAAAAAATTGCAAATGTTAAAACGAGTAAAATCGTCATTAATTCCGATCCTACTGGAGATACACACGACACCATTATTTCTCCACTCCCTCTACCTTTAATCACTAAAATTTAAGAGCATCAATCCCTCTAATAAATCTGCAAAATTTCGAAATTTTCGACAAAAAGCACAGCAGTTATTATTAAGCTTCAAAGTTGATGAACAGAATTGCATCATATAAACATTAACATCCATACATACAGGAAAAAACCCGATTTTTTTTTGCATTTCTCAACATTTCAGGTTCCGAGTCCAAAAATGTAAAAATCTTGAAGGGTCCTTTTTTCACCAATTGCCATAGTTACCCCCTCCGTTACATATAACAGAGCCGGCCAGGAAAGTAAAACGAGATAAATTATTTTCTCTTATACGTTTTTCTAATAATTTTGGGAGATACAAATTTTGTAACAAATAGTAATGCAATAAATTTTATAATGATCCAGAAAAACTTTTGGATTTTTTTAAAGAAATGAATACAGTATTTGCACAATGTTATAATTTTATTTTTTAAAAATATCTTATAAGCACGTAAAAATTATATAGATAAATTTTTGTTACAAAGTAAATCTCATCTCATGGTGCCATATCAGGTTTGTCCCGACCTCGGCCACACCTGGCGCAGATTAGTAAGTACGCCAAGGCGTTACTAGGGAAAGTTAGTACCCAGAGTGGTTTCCCGTTGCCTTCTCTGGGGCGCGATGTTACGCGAGGGGAATTGGCCTCCTATTTAGTCGTTATTGGCAAGGAGAAAACCCGGAAAACTCCAAGCAGCCAGCCTGTCCGATCGCGGCGCGAACCCACGACCAAACTCCCAGTGCTTAGGGTAAGAAGACCACTCGGCCACTGGTGGGCCTACAAAGTAAATAGTGTAATTATTATAGACGTTTTAAATTCGTTCAAAACACAACATTAAATGAGAGGATTTATGTGAAAGAGAAAACATTTTCAGATTTGAAAAGATATTTATGTAATTATCAATGATATTAGAACAGATAGCTAAAATTCTCTCGATATCTCGATGTTTTTTAAAAATTAAGAGGGGAGAAAAATGTACACAATCATTTATCCGTGTACAGTATATTTGAGAAAGTCTTAATATTTTTTATAATGCTTGATTTTAGACATAAGCTATTGTATATTATCTTATAAAAGAGCTTCTTGTCTCAAGAATTATTGAAACTAGTATCTCAAATACTACAGTAGAGATAAGAGACTTATCACACTGCTATTGGAACATCAAAATAACACTTCTATCATCAATACTGGTATGCATTTCGGTAAACAAGTCTCTCAACAGCCATACATAAACATATATAGAATCTATGTTTATGTATGATGATAGAAGTGTCATTTTGAGTTACCAGTAGCAGTGTGGTGCTATCTAAATACTGTATATAAAATTGCTTGTCCTGATTGACTGACTCACTCACTCACTGATTCATCATCGCCCAGAGCAGACCGCTTAACCTAAAGAGGTGAAATTTGGTAGACAGTTAGGGTACGTCATGGAAACGCACACTAAGAAGGGATTTTTCGAAATTCCCCCGCGGGGGAAGAGGGAGAGCATTAAGGCTTAACCGGAAGAATGGCTTCTACTGTACTATTTTAGGTGCGATTTTTTGTTTTTATCTGCGTTTTAGTAGGGGTATGCCATGGCAATGCACGCTAAGAAGGAATTTTTCGAAATTTCCCCGCGGGCGGGAGAGGATTTAGTCTTCATCGAGTACTTAGGTGTATTAAATTAATAACATTTCAGACATTGTTATAAATATTTTTATCTATTTTGATTTTAAAAATGTTCGAACCGTTTTAGATTCGAATTTGTTATTGCATATTGGTTCGATTATAGAACGATTGTAAACGTTCCAGAAAATTGATCAAATTGAAAATAGTTTGTTTGATTCTCGGCAATTCTCATCATTTTCAGCGGTAGGTGTTATATAACATTACTATGGTTATTGAAATATTGAATGTAAATGGGGTTTGCTTGCAAAACCTCCGCAGACGAAGTCGCGGGTAACAGTATTAGATATAACAGACTTACTTGTATATCGTGTCAAATTTTCAGTAATGTAAGTTATTTAATAGAGATTTAATTTAATTCGTTATAATCGATCAATGTTTTGATCAATCGATCTGAAGTTCTAAAAAAAACTGCATAATTAAAGTACCGCACATTATAGATTGCTATTAATTATAAGTAAAAAGCGCCCTCTCGGGCTCCAAAAATTGCACCCTTTAGCCCAATAAAAATAATTGGGTGGTGCTATGAATGTGTTGATGGGTGTCAGCAGAACTGCCCTCACTTGTCGATCCTCGAACAGTCACTCACCCCTTGATAGAGACGGTTACAAATTACCGTTTCTAGCTTTTACTTATAGTGAGAGTTGTGCAAGCTTTGTTGGTGTAAGAAACTTTGGATAAGCTTAATGACTGTCGCTCAAGATTTAGAATGTTATAAATTCATTTATTAGTATTTGGTCATTATTTCGATTCGATTTTTATAGACAAATTCTGTTTAGACGGTTGTCTTTAATGATTTTTATTAAATAATAATAATTAGTAGTAGTAGACGACGGTAGCTCCATCTATCGGAAAAATATACAATTACAGTGATAATTTGGATAATTTCAGGCAATGGGGAAGAAATTATTACGGAATATTCTGGACATCCCGGATTTGAAAGTTTAGCGAATTCTTTCATTCGTCAAGTACTTTCCATGCCACGAAGTCTCTTGACGCACACCGCATTATCCGAAAAAAATTGGTATTTTTTTCCGCATGATAAATTCGTTTAATCAACTTAAGTTTTAACGAATTTATTTTTTTTCAGGTTTCATTACGCGGCCAGAATTTGGGAAACAGTCAAGAAATCAAGTTTATTTTTAGAATATAGCAGATTACTTCCATAGAATTTTATTTATTTATAGTGAAAAAATTTTATTTCCACAAAAATATACATCTTGGTGACATATTCCACTGTACAATTATAAATGTTTATTTTGTAATAAAATGACTAATAATACATTGATTTGATTACTTGAATATATTAATAAGAGAAAGTCTACACAATTATTTTTGTTAATAAATATTAATTAAACACAAAATTTTTAAAATATATTTGAACATCTCATTTGTTTTCTAAATAAATAAATTGCAATTTTTCAACTTTGTGTACATTGAATGATATGGGGAACTTCCAGTTCGTCTTCGCTGTCTGTGTCATTGGAATTGGAATCGTCTTGATGTCGTTGTCTCGCCTTAAAAGTAAATTACAAAGCAATTATGAGACAGAAAATTAAGAATATTTTATAATTTTTTTTATAGCTCACTCTTCGTCTTGCCGCCAAACGGATGTTCTGGACAAAGAACGACCACATTTGTCTGTTGATTCCATCCACGTATCCTCTTTTGATCTCTTCTTGGCGTTCTTTCAGATTGGCACTTGTTTGCTAAATTAAAAATTTATTATTATTAAGATAATTATTATTAATTAGAAACTGACAAGAATTCATTTTATTATATACTATAAATATCATTATAATACTGTATTTATAACACACAATATAGCAAAATATTTATAAAAAAAATTGAACTTTGTATATTTTCTAGAGCTGCTAATAAATGTTTTAAGCAAATGATTTTATAACAAACAAAAATCTTTTTCTTTTAAGAAAATCTTATTTTAGTTTGCTTGATGCATATATTGTATTTGGAATCCATATCTACAAATTTTAACAAAATATTTAATTGTAGAAAGTGGAGTTTGATTTTCTTTTAATTCAACTTAACAACTTGAAGTAACTTTGTTCTATAAGCGCAATGTAGCGTAATAACGATCACTTGGCACTATTCACTTCTTTATTTCACTTTTCGTTGATATGCGTTTACACACACATTTCGGACCTCTTGTGTAAACGCGTATCAACGAAAAGTGAAATAAAGAAGTGAATAGTGCCAAGTGATTGTTATTACGTTACACTGTGCTTATAAAAAAATATGACACAGTTTCAAAACATGGTAGAAAAACTTTAAGTAACATTTTTGAACAGCTTATGAATTTTTAAAATGGATTTGAACAAAATAAAGTTGGTGTATTGATATAACAACATGTAAGAACCATTCATTTTATAAAAATTGATATTTAAAAAGAATATGTAATTTTATATTAATGTCAATATCAATTGTTTATGGATGACTAGTCTTTTACCAAGTGTCTGTTATTTGTTTTGTTGTATTGTGAAGCAGCAGCATCATGAATTTTATGCTTTTTTTGTGTCACTTTTTGACAGAATTCTTGTAAAACTAATGATTCTGTTGATTTGTATATATGCAATTTTAATAATTTATTTTATAAAATTTAAATTGATTTCTTGAGTGCTGCTCAATTTGACTTTTAAGAGAAAGTACTTGGCAATAATTTTAAATTCCAAAAAAGATAAACAGCACTGATAGGTTATTGACTGACACAATCAAAAATTAAAATTTAGTATTTTTTATTTTCCAAAAAATACTGTCCAAATTTATATGACATTTTGTTTTTTTTAAATGATTTACATCTGATCAATACTTATGAAAGTTAATAATTCTATTTTTTATATCAAATGAGCTAGTTATGTATTTATATATATATAAACACTAATAACAATATTTAAAAAATAAAAATTGAAACAAACACATCATCATGAAATAATGCAAAAAAGACAGTTGGCCTACCCTACTTTCAGTGATCAGTGAATTAAAATTACTTAAATTTTTTTAATATAATAAAATTTTGAAATTAAGAAATATCTGCCATCTTCATACAATTCATTCCTGGACTTGAACAAATAATTTGAAATTATTTTTCTGAAATCACAGTTGAAGATACAATATAGTTATTGTTGTCTCAATAAGACACACTGATTACTATCCACATTATAGCTTGAAAATAACTTTCACTTTCACCAGAAGAGTTTGTGACATGTTTACTCTAAGGATACAGTTGTCCACATTATATATTAATCTCTCTCTCTTATAAATTAATCATCTATTTTTTAAATCAATCCATCAGGAAATTTTCCTGTACTGTGTTTTTTTTCTTTTTTCTCTGTTGATTATATCTTTTAATCTATTGACACAAGTACATAAATATTTTACCAATTTTACAAATGAAATAATTTTCTTCTCTTACAAATTCTCATGCAATAAATAAATAAATAAGGTTCAAAGTAGAAGTTTTAATATTATGCAAATACATCATCTAAATTATTTTTATAAGATATTCTAAAGATTTTAGATATTAACCAAGCAATTTTTAAAAATTAATATTAAATAAAAGCTAAAAAAAATACACAATAATTGACTACAGTTGCATTTTCAGATTACCTGTTTAACCTTATTAACACTTATTAGATAGTAATTAAAATTTTTAAATGACATATTTATACATTTTGAAAAATTAAAAAAGCAAATTAATTTCATTATAAAATCAAAATTGACTTTGATTGCATAAGATTATACTTTAATAATAATAAGGCATTTAATTTTTTATTTTCATAGACAGCAAGATCATGCTTTAAAAAATAATTTGTATTATTCCGAAAATTGTAAAAAAATTTTTAGAATACAGGTGGCTTTGTTCTTTCATGTTAAATTACATAATGTATTTATTTCCTGATGAAGGTCAACGAAAAGGACTAAAAACATTTGATTAGTAAATACAGTATTTTACTGCATAATTAATGGTTATGTGTTTGTTGTTAATTTATGCACAGTCGTGTTAAATTATTCTGAATATTAAAGAAGTGTTAAAGAAAAGAGCAAAGTAAGTCTTAAAACACATTTTGCATTTGAAAGATAAAATTTGTATTCAGAAACCTTAACTTTATAAATAAATTGTGAACAAAAACAGGAAACTTAGAAATGTTAAATGTATATACAATTAGATAATATAAAGTATAATAAGCTTAAATCATATATACTATATTATACTTTATATTATATAGGCTTATTATTATTTACACTTTTCCAGATATACCATTATATATATCTGGAAAAATATAAAATAATATATAATCATTATTGAATCAATTTTAAGAAAAGATATATGATATAGTGAGAACAATGTCATTAATACAGTTTTCAATTTTGTCATTAATTATTTAAAAAATTATATAAAAATCCTCAAATATGTTAATTTAAAATAAACTTATTAACTATAAGGAAAGCCTGACTATTCATTTATTCCATGCAGGAAATTTATGTTGAATGTAGGAACTTTTTAAAAATATAAACCTTCAAAGACATTTGTATTTCCACTCTTCACATGCATGTGGGTTGGCAGGCTGGAGAGTTTTTTCCATTACAGTGGTGCCTCGAACAAAGTACTTAATCCGTTCCAGGTGCACGTCCGTTATACGAAATGCATTTTCCCATAGAAATACATGTTAAAACATATAATTCGTTCCGCAGCATAAAATAACCGTACTATACCATAAAAAATGAAAATGGAGCAGACACCAATTATGCTGGGTAGTCAGATGCTGTGAGGAGGAGGTGGAAGAACACTTTCTTTACACATTCATACAGATACAGACTTTTTACACATTGCAGCGGGTCTTTTTTTTATTGTTTTTTAATCGGAGTCAGATTCAGGAGAGGCTACCGGAACTTGCAGGGTCAACTTCTCTTGTTCCATCCTTTGTTTTTTGCCCGCTGGCTTCTTGAAAAACATGACCAAGGTGGTCTGTTTCTCTTTCTTCTTTAACACCTGTCGGAAATGACGGACAAAGGTGTCATCGTAGAGATCATTGATCCTGTTGGCCTCAGCTCTGTTTGGATAATGAGTGTTGGTAAACTCCTGAACCTCTCCCCATTCGACAAGAAAGTTTTTGTCAACTTTCACTCCTGATGATTTCTTGCTTTGTTTCAATTGAAATCACCTTTCTGTTTTTTTAGAAGCCATGATGCATTATAAATGACTTAACTTGCCAGATTATATGATACGAATAATTCTTTATTAATTAAGATCACTAAACACTTCTACGAGCTACTCTCGCTCCGTTTGTTTTTTACAACCTCTTTTCGTCCCGCCACCTCGGCATCTACACAATTACATTTCGTTTATTTGAATCGTCAACATATATTACATTACATTTAATGTTTATTTAAATTATCAACATATATTACATTACATTTAATGTTTATTTAAATCATCAACATATATTACATTACATTTCTACTTCAGATATACTAATAATACATTCTAATAATACTAATATATCCTAAAAATAGCAATGGCAAAAGAGTGGAAACATCATTCGCACTTGTTCGAAAAAAATCCATTGTTCGTCTCACGTAACTGCCGAACGGAAAGTCCGTTGTTCGCAGCAAGTCCGTTGCTCGAGTCATGTAACGGTCAAACAGAAAGTCCATTATTCACAGCGTCCGTTATACAAGGCACCACTGTATTTATTTTTCATGACGACCAGATGTAATGAATCAGGTGACAAGGAGAGAAAAATTGGGTTTGAGTTCAAAAAAAGAATGGTTAGAATCAGTATGAAGTAGAATAAAGTATTTCTGACATAGGCGATAGGTCATTTCTGTAGTAAATCATAAGGCTGGAAACATGATAATGATGTTCTCACCACTATCACAGCATCACAACTGTTATTATATTTTATAGTATACTGTATTAAGTTTTGAAAAATAAGCATATAGAAGTGATGTCTTCACGCTTGAAATGCTTATATAAAAAATTTATAATTATTCCAACATAATAATTTTGAGAAATTAAACTAAACTTTCCTTTTAGAATCTAAAACATGTTTAATCTTTAAGATTTCACTATATAAACTTTTCCATATTTTCATAATGTTTACTATGAAAATTAGAAAACTTACATCTTTTATTGCAACGTAATTTGGAAGATTTTCTGAAGATGGCATCCAGATTTTAATATCACAACGTAATCCACTTGTTGCCAATATTGGACAACTGGGATGTGGCTCCAGGCAGTTAACCTATAAAAAAAACTTATTAATTCCAGGTTTTTTTAATTATTATAAAATTCCAGTTTAATAATAAATATGATAAATTCAATTACCAAATCTGCTTCTACACCATTGAGACATTGCACAATATGTTCTGTGTCAGAATCCCAAAAATAAATATTACTGCAATCACTGCCACTAATAATATATTCACTCTTTGGTCCAAAATAGTTAACATTCTTAACTGTAAGAAGTAAACAAAATAATAAGAATAGTTCTATCTAATTTATAATCTTTGAGATGTTTAACTTTTGATTTTACCTGTGTGATTATTTCTATGACCTCGATATTTATGCTTATATTGAAGTACATCTTCATTGTTTAAATCAAAAGTATAGATGTCTTCATCATTATATGAAGCTAATATTTCTGAAAAAGTCATCTATGTTTAGGATGATAAATAAAATGTATATGTATGTGTTTTATCTTCAAAATGCACAAAAGTCAACATATCTAATTTTATATTTAAAAATGGTGCTAAGGACACCAAAATCATTTTATAATTTAGAAATGTTTAAATCCTGAATAAAGGCTGGAAACATTTAGGCCATCCTCAGAATACATTTAAATCTCAAAATGGAACAACACAGAATAATTTTTAAATTAACCAATCATCAAGTTTTGTAATTTATATAATATATAATAAGGTTATTTGAAAGATAAAAAATTATATATATTTAATATAAATTGTCAGTATGTTGTAAAATTCTACTTGATGATTGGTTAATTTCTAATTAAAAATAAATTCAATCAGCTCCTGTTTTACAATCACTCTTTTTATAACTAATAAATATTGTGTTTGAAGTATATTTTTTGTTGACCATCTCAGTAGTATCATATCATTCAAATTCTATTTTTCCAAGAATGTAATCTCAATGAAATTATGGGAATAGTGTGTTATGACAGTAAATTTATGGAAAATACAATGGCTTGCTTTATAGCAGTTCAGTTTTAATGATGATTTTTTGAGCTTTGAATAATCATCACTAGTAAACCAATATTTTTAATATTTTCAAAACACCATTTTTTTTGTATAGTTAACTAATTTTATGTATAAAAAGCAATTTGAAAGCAAGTGTGAGTTATGCAATAGTGTGGTTTTATTTACCAATTTTAATTTGCAATTTATTATGAATTCATCAAAAGCTTTTCTTTTGTCTAAACATTTTTAATGTCTTTAAACTAAAGTTATTACTGGTTGAAAGGTAAGTTGTTAAATTTGTATCTTGCACTACTGGCAATTTGTCAGATTTCAACTGTCAGTAGTGCTCTCCTTTCCATGTAAACTATATAGAAACAAATTTAATTTTAACATATGTTCATACATTAAAATTAAATTTGTTTCTGTATACATAGAACAGGGGTGGATCCACAAGGGATACAGGGAGTACAGGGGCACAAGTTCTCCACATTAAATAAATAAATTTTAATTGTTTTGTGTCAAAAAGTGTTTTTTAAAAACATTTATGATGAAANGTACTGGGACTGGGAACATGAAGGCCAAGCAAAGTGGTTTGGGCGAACTCGTGACAAGTCATGCGTACACGTAGCGTAGAACATTACATTAACATGCAATTAGTCATAGTTTCTTTGCTTACTAGATATCTCGTAGCAAAATAGAACTGACAATGAGTTATCTTGAACTGCACTTAAGTAAATTTCCAAGAAAATGCCTAAAGGCTCTAAACTTTGCAACACCCCAATCATGGCGCCGCAGCACCCCGGTTGAAAAACACTGTGTTATTGTCTGGATCCAGCACTGACAATGAATAAGAACTGAACAATGGACTCTCACAAATTGGTGTCACTAGATATTATTGACATTAAAATTTTTCATATTTAATTTGTTTAGTTTATTTTAGCAATTATTATCATCATTATTTCCATTTATTATCCAATTATTATCATTATCATTTCCAATATTACATGTTTTATAATTGCATCTACAATAAGCTTCTAATCGAAGTAAATGGAAGAAACAGAAAAATAAACAGAATGTTTTAGATGATATCTACTAAACTTCATATGAATAAGTGTTATGTTATCAATGGTCACTTCAAAGTTTGTAGAGTTATGTGACCATTTTATTTCAGTTCTAGCAATTTTTTAAAGGTTATGTTATAGTGCAGGTTATACACCACCATAGTTTATTCAAAACAAAAATGTACTATTTTAAATGTACACAGAAATCTTGAAAGTTTTACGACTATATAAAAGTAATAATATTGGTCCCTTAATGATGAACATTTATAATTCAAAATTGTTCAGATATGTACTTTTATGCAACGTTTATAATATAAAATTCAGTTTAAAAAGTATTTTCTATATTTATTTATACATAATAAAAATGAACTTACCATGTCCATTGTAATTATAAACAACTGAAGTAACATCTGCTCTTATATCACTATCAACCTATAAAAGTTTTTACTTTGTTATGATTATTATTCTTTTTAAAGTAAAATAAAACAATGAAATGATCTAAATTCATTCTTAAAATTATTTTTCATAATGACAAATTTATTTACAACTGAATAATTATTTTTTGATAAACACTTATTTCTTTATCATTTGTATGTTGTAAAATTCTACTTGATGATTGGTTAATTTCTAATTAAAAATAAATTCAATCAGCTCCTGTTTTACAATCACTCTTTTTATAACTAATAAATATTGTGTTTGAAGTATATTTTTTGTTGACCATCTCAGTAGTATCATATCATTCAAATTCTATTTTTCCAAGAATGTAATCTCAATGAAATTATGGGAATAGTGTGTTATGACAGTAAATTTATGGAAAATACAATGGCTTGCTTTATAGCAGTTCAGTTTTAATGATGATTTTTTGAGCTTTGAATAATCATCACTAGTAAACCAATATTTTTAATATTTTCAAAACACCATTTTTTTTGTATAGTTAACTAATTTTATGTATAAAAAGCAATTTGAAAGCAAGTGTGAGTTATGCAATAGTGTGGTTTTATTTACCAATTTTAATTTGCAATTTATTATGAATTCATCAAAAGCTTTTCTTTTGTCTAAACATTTTTAATGTCTTTAAACTAAAGTTATTACTGGTTGAAAGGTAAGTTGTTAAATTTGTATCTTGCACTACTGGCAATTTGTCAGATTTCAACTGTCAGTAGTGCTCTCCTTTCCATGTAAACTATATAGAAACAAATTTAATTTTAACATATGTTCATACATTAAAATTAAATTTGTTTCTGTATACATAGAACAGGGGTGGATCCACAAGGGATACAGGGAGTACAGGGGCACAAGTTCTCCACATTAAATAAATAAATTTTAATTGTTTTGTGTCAAAAAGTGTTTTTTAAAAACATTTATGATGAAAAATATGGTTTATTGGACCATCCACAATACAATTGTCTTGCACATGTTAATAAAAAGGTTCTTGTAATTATTCAAATATTTTTAAGTGAACCTTCCTTTTGGGTTATTGCAGTGTTTTTCAACCTTTTTCATTGAGTGGCACACCTAATTGAAAAATAACAAATCGTGACACCCTTGACCAGCAGCGGATCTANTTTTATTTATTTCTAAATAAAAATTGAAAGTGTCTGTAGAAGTAATTTTTTAAAATATCCTTATTCGTAATAAAGTTTTAATGCTTATTACTATAATCTAGACATGTTAATTCTTAAATATACTTGTATATTTAAGGATTGGGCCAAAATATACCAAAATATACAAGTATATATATTATACTTGTGGCCCAAAACTCCATGACTTCTTCCAATGTGGCCCAAAGAAACAAAAAGGTTGGACACCCCTGGTTTAAATGATAGTTTTTTTATTTTTTATATGCAATTATCAGAAAAATTCAAATAAAAACACTTAAATCTAAAGTTCATTCTAACTAAATTTATTTGCTTTGTACAATGCATTCTCACTAATCTGAACTACTTATTGCATGGAGTTGTTTTAATTAGTAAAAACTTCCAACTATCGGGGCAGTATATAACAAAAAGGAAGTGAATTATTACAGACAAACATATCTTTAAAATTTTATTTTGTATTTGATACATATGTTTGTTAAAATAAATATTTTAACATAATAAATGTATATGTACACATAATAGGGTTCTCATTTCCAAGAATTTAGAGAAAAAGTGATCTGTTTCCCAGGATATAATTAATTATTTTTAAGATATAAAATAAATCTTGAAATTGAATGATATAATTATTTTTCACTTTTTAACTAATTTAATATGTCCCACAACCTCCAAAATAATAATAAGAATAATAATGCTGTGTAAAATATGTGCGAGATCTGTGAGTCTGATTAACAATTTAAATATAACGTTAAAATTATAAAGTAAAATATTTTTTCATTTTGGTGTGAAAATATCGTTTTTCTAACGTGGGAAAACTGATAAAAGAGTCACTTCCTTTAACGGAAGTAGACGCATCCTTTTGTTTCCAGTTATCTATCACAAATCTCACCATCCTGGAAATTGTCAACCCCTCAATAATTCTCCTTTTCATCCGTTCACGTGAGAGAAGACAAATAAGCTGATTGGTCGCAAATCATGAGATATAGTCAAAGATCTGCATGATTCGGGGAGTACGTCCGAAGATCTCATAGGGAAAGGAGGTGTCCCATATTCGCTCCCTAAGGCCAATGCCCTTAGGAGTATGTCAGAAGATCTCATAGAGGAGAGACGTAGTCCATATTTGCTCCATAAGGCCAATGCCCTTAGTTGTATCCAATCGAGTATAATAATGAGTTAATTTAGGAGAAAGGAAGAAACTTTTAATATTGTGCCAAATCAGGACCTCTCCATGAAACAAAGTATGATCATAGAATACAGATGAAGATAGACAAAGCACATTTTGAAGTAGTATGATTATAAATGAATTTGTGAGCTCTCTCTCTCGACGCAAATATTTTAATTGCATCCATATTCTCTCTAAATCGCTCATTTGAATTGTTTAATTATATCCCTTTTGTATACTCTTATTTATGTTAGATTATTAAATTCTTTATTTTATGTGTTAAAGAAATGTCTCATCTTTGTCTGAATCAAATCCATATTATCTCCACACGTGTGTTAATCCGCGTATCTAAATTTGATTAACTGGTGTCGGGAACGTCAGGTTCCCGACACCAGTTAATCAAAGAAGGTGAATTCGCCATCATCAAATTCCGCTTTAAATTTATTCTAACTATAAGTCTCTCTGCACTCGATTTCCTAGGATTAGGAAAAGCCATTCTTGTAGACGACCGAGAACTAGTTTCAACAACTACCCGCCGAGTAAGTGATACACGAGTAATAAACTACTCCGTACCCCTGTCTAGAATCTCACATATGTATTAAAAATTACCTTTGAATTATGTAGAAATTTTCAGAAATAGAAAAAATTTATTAAAATTTGTTGAAACTGTTTACAAAAAAAGCCTTTGGATTGAGTTGAAAATTTAAAGAAAAAAATGAACTTACATCAAACTACTAACTTAAAAAGTAATTTTCGTTTTTTTTTAAAAATAAAACATAACTTGTATATAATAATATTGTAAATTTTTATAAGATTTTAAAAAGCAAAGACAGTCAATACTCTGATCACTCAATCTAGTTCTTCTTTTAGTAATGAAAAGTCCTACTACCGAGAATGCCCTTTCTGATTCAATTGATGTAGGTGGAATCATCTTTAATGCATTTAAGAGAAAACAGATGTTATGTGGTTTTTCACCTGTAGCCTCGAAGATTTCTAGTTCGTTTTCAAGATGCATTGCAATACTTCTTTTGCTGTCTAGTATTGTTGATTTGTCTACCTCAGCTGCTTTAATAGTGGCATCAAGCTTATAGCCCAATAATTTGACAGTTCATTTGGATTTAATAATCAGGTTTATGAAGAATAATTTCATACTTATTTCTATCTTTGCTCAATTTGCACAATCTAGCATAATGCAGTTATTCAAGCTACTGGGCATGGTTAAAAATTAAGACAGCATTATTCAAGATATTACAGGTTCTGACAAGTAAAGAATTTTCAGAGTCCTGCCACAAATAGGTTACATCTTGATTATTGACAATCTACGACATGCTAAAACAAACAAAAATTTAAAAAACTAATAAGCAGGCTTAAAAGTAATAAATACAAATGTATTCTGACAGATTATGAGTTAATTATTCTTTCAATTTGCAAAATTTCCTCAACCTTAACACAAAATAAGAAAAAAGTGACCTTTTAAGAAATTTGCAGATTTCCCAGGATGAGAAGAATTTCTTGGGTTAAAAAACAGCTGGGATTACCAGGATTCCATTAGAGAAACTCTAACACAGTATAACCCTGGTAATTTAAACTAATTGAGCCAGAACATGTTTAGAATACAGTTTTTTGGATTATCCAATATTCTATACATGATACATTTACTATGTTAATGTGGGGTTTCTCAATATACTGTAGTGGGATGAGCCCATTGTATTATGTCAATATCACTGACACCAGTCAGGTTTTTGAGAACTGGGATCACAATCTCTTTCTGTAAGGAAGTATATGACTGTACAGGAAGGCAAAAATGATAAGAAACTTGTTTTCTATTCCAATAACAAATTTATTTATTTATTTACACACTGCATATTATGAGCAGCACAAGGTAAGCATGAAAATGATGTATTTTGTCTGAAAAGAGAAAGATTTCTGGATTTTTTTTAACTGTTTGAATTAATCAAAATTTCAAATGACCAAGATTCAGATTAGCAAGGTCCTACTGTATTAATTTTACAAACCTGTCTTATTTAAAAAATATTAATAATTTATTTCTTTTTGTTTTTGTCTGAAATATTTAGAAAATACACACACAACTGAATCAGATTAAGTTTGGATTAGTGAGAATGCAATGTGTTTTTATTCTCATTTAAATTTTGTTATAATTAACATAATTTTTTGAATTTTTACACTTACTAAATGTCTTGGACAATATTTATTCATAGGCTTTCCTTCATTTGAAATATACCTTTTGTCATAAATTCTGAAATAATCACAATAAAGACAAAGCTTCAAATAATCAAAAAGTAAAATTTGTAATATGTAATTTTTTTTTTCCTGTGCCATTATGCAACCCTGATTACACTGATATTCATGACAAAGAACAACATTCAAACTAAACTTGACTAGTGAAAAGATGAGAATAATCTATACTAATATAATAAAGAGGTAATGTTTGTATGTTTGTATGTATGTAAGTTTGGATGCAGCAGGTAATCTCCAAAACTACTCATCTGATTTCAAAAATGTTTTCACCAATATTTAGAATGGAACTTCAGGATGGACATAGGCTGTATATTATTCCGTTAAACATGGGGGATGGACAGTTCTTTACGGTAAGCCTTACGGACAAGGCTTACCATAAAGAACTCTGCTTCTATTTATACTATTTTAAATGCGGTTTTTTGCATTTTTGATTGCATTTTAATAGGGTATGTCAACAGAATGTACACTAAGAAGGGATTTTTCGATATTCCCGCCAGGGGGAGAGGGACAGGGTTAAGGCTTACTGTAAAGAACTTCACTTCTATTATACTATTTTAGATGCGGTTTTTTCGTTTTTGATTGCGTTTTAATAGAGTACGTCAACAGAATGTACCGTCAACAGAATGTACACAAAGAATGGATTTTTCGATATTCCCGCCAGGGGGAGAGGGACAGGATTAAGGCTTACCGTAAAGAACTCTGCTTCTATTATACTATTTTAGATGCGGTTTTTTGCATTTTAATAGAGTACGTCAACAGAATGTACACTAAGAAGGGATTTTTCGATATTCCCCCCGGGGGGAGAGGGACAGGATTAAGGCTTACTGTGAAGAACTTCACTTCTATTATACTATTTTAGATGCGGTTTTTTGCGTTTTTGATTGCGTTTTAATAGAGTACGTCAACAGAATGTACACAAAGAAGGGATTTTTCGATATTTCCCCCGCGGGGAGAGGGACAGGATTAAGGCTTACTGTGAAAAACTTGGCTTCTATTATACTATTTTAGATGCGAGTTTTTGTGCTTTTGATTGCGTTTTAATAGGGTACGTCAAGAGAATGTACACTAAGAAAAAATTTTTCGAAAAATTTTCCCCCACGGGGGAAGTGTTATACATTTATAATAGATACATTTTGAGCCACAACAAGGCGTGGCGGGGTCTGCTAGTTTTACATACAGTGGTACCTCAGGATACAAATGCCCCAGCATACAAAATTTTCTGGATACGACATGAAATTCGAACATAATTTTGCTCCTCAGTACGAACAAAAACTCACCATACGACGTTGTGTTAGTTCACAGCGCCATTTTTTATTTACTTCTGTTCATTGGTCTCAGTCCACGTGTTTGCTTTGTTGTGGAAGGTTCTTGCTTGATAAAGGAAATCTTGAAGTGTTATTAGAAAGTACTGATTTTATTGAAAAGAAACATCTCGAAAAGTTCACACTGGCCGTATTGCTGCTCAGAGTAATGACATTTACCTAAGTCATTTTAAAAACATTTTAAAAAGTAGGCAAAGCCAAACAAACCTCTTTGGATAGATATTTTACCAAGCGACCTCTATCCTGTGAAAGTGCTGGTGGAAGTGAAGGAAAGATGGCAAAAAGCAGTAAATAAAAAATTTAAAAAACATATAAAACAGAAAAGTTAAAAAATTAGTGTTAAGTTATTTTTGAGCTATTGTTACATTATACTAAACTTAACTTACATAACATGTAAGTTAAGTTAAGTATCATTTCCTTTCTCCCTCTCCTCCACCACCAGTTTACACCTCCACCAACGTCTATCCTCAAAGGTAAAGTGCAAATAAAACTATATTTTTTTTAAATCTATTATTCTATTATGCTTATTTATACATTTACAACTACAAAATGCATTTTTCAGTGTTTTCCTTATTAAAGTTTTTTTTCAATGTACTACTTAGCTTTAATTTGAGTGTGTTTTTCATGTTGGAATGAATTATTTGGTTTTACATGTAATCGTATGGGGAAAAATGAATCACCTTATGACATTTTCATGATACGATCTCAGTTTCGGAATGGATTAATTTCATATCCTGAGGTACCACTGTACTAGTATAAATTATTTTAGTACCTAGATGGTTAAAAAATATCAGATATCGTATTTTCAATTAGTGTCTACTTGACCAATGAAATTCTGCCATTTTGTACTATTGTCATATCACAATAGATATGACAATGGTAGGCTGAAATAACCAAACTCTTTATATGGTTTTCATTTTAATGTTTGTTATATTATAGTATTTGATTTAGATAACTACAAAGGTTATCTTACGTAGTGGTTTATCACACTGTGTGACAATCTAACATATTTTAAAAATTCTTTATTCCTCTGCTGTATGTACACAATTTAAAGAACTTTTAGATTGGGTACTCAGTGTGATGAACTCTTATGTAAATATAAATAAAATAATGTTATAAGGTACATTAAATAATTCATACTGACTGATCCATTGATCCAATCTTTTAGCATGTTCTATTCTCAAATACAAAAGATTTAAAACTTTTCCTGTAGGACGGAAATTTATTAGGTTAAATACGAATTTTATTAAATCGAAATTCTATTGTAAAGAATTATATATAACTTTTAATGTTACAAATTATTAATTCATTAATAATAATTTGAAATAACTGAATAACAGGAAACGACAATATATTAATAAACAATGTTTTACTGATGTGCGAAAAAGAAACAAAGAGAATTACTTTCTTAAAATAGGCCTTATAATAGAATAAAATGACTATGAAAAATGAGAATTAATAAGACTTCCATAAATATAATGTAAATATTTATCATCCAATCATTCATTTTGATAACAAANACGTAAAAATTCTCTAATTAGTCTGGAAACGGGGGACCTAATTCTTGCATTCTGTGAAAACGGGTAAGATTAGCTATAATGTAATTATCTTAATCTTCACTATCGTTACTTTTTGCCCAGCGAAGCAGGTCCTTGCAGCTAGATTCTAGATTACTTAGAAAAACAGTCTTTTATATATATATATAAAAAAACTATATTACATACAAATAAAAACCCAGCAAAGTGGGTCCTTGCAGCTAGTAATATAATATAATAGAAAGGTTAGAAGTACAAAATAATCTAATAATCTTAACCTTTGTTATTGTTATTTTTTTTCCTGAGCTATGCTGGGCTCATCACTAGTGAAATAAAGTAAGTATAAGGTATGAGAAATATGTCCTAATTTCTAATTGTTTTGAAAACTACTTCACATCATATATCTATTGGACAATCTTTCATCAGTATTAAATCATCTACAATTAAATCATAAGTAATATTGTAAATGTGTATGTGATGAAAATTATAGTAACTTTGATAGTGACTATCAGATATTATTTTTCATATGTTAAATTTTAGTTAATTATTTTTAAATAAAAGATTTTATTGTTATTTAGTTTTAAATACAATAGAACCCCTCTAGTCCACCCTCGGCTAGTCTGTCACTCCAGTTAATTCGACCGTGATCGGACTTGAGAAACTTGTCCCGACTTGTCAGTGACTCACTGTCTGTGGCGTTCTTCTGTGTTCATTACAGTATATGTTTTACATTGTGTGTACGTGTACAGTTTTGGTGTGTTTTCAACATGTCAGGAGTAAAACGTAAACACGTTACTCTTTCATTAAATGAAAAATTAGCAGTGCTACAAAGACTGGACAAAGGGAAGATTGTTTATTTTACTTTTTTCTGATAATCTGACCTTTTTTGCGTTCTGACCATACCCCCAGTCCCAAAGGTGACGGATTAGAGGAGTTCTACTGTAAATCATGAAAAATAATCATAAATTTTAAATAAACAAAACTGAATAAATTTATTTTACCTGATATAGCAATCTCTTCCTCCAAGTGCAAATTCATATGATTTGTTTGGATTCACAAAAACTGAGTAGAGAGGTATATTTTTCTCATTTTCTGTACATTGTATTAGTCTGTAACATAATAAAATATTGTAAAATTATATCAGTTATATATATATATGTGATATATATATATATATATATATAACTGATATGTGTGATATATAAATATATATAAATAATAGGTGTGATATATATATATATCACACATATTATTCCAAATTTTATAAGTATCAATTAATCAAATTAAATATCAATCAATGTAAGAGTTTTCATTACTTATAAAAATAAAATAAAATTTCTTGCATACAAAAATATATACTGTATATATAATTTTAAACATTATCTAAATTATTCTTTCTAAAATAACTAACTTTTTCTTTCATTTTTGACATGGACTTCGTCCTGTGGACAACACTAATATTTTAATTTAAACAATTATTTCCACAATTTATAACTGGGAAATTGTTAGAACTCCCCTCATATACAGTCATTAATAAACAAAAAAAAAAAAAAAAAAATAAGCTCATGACTGACTCTATATCAACCAATAAGCTT